GCATGTGTGTCAACGGGTCCTGCGGTTTGTGTTTCAATCTATTATTAATTAATATAAATTTATAACAATTAGTAAATGTTGAATGAAAAAGAAACTAATTGTTACAAAATCAAGCATTTTTTAAAAGTATCTTATAATTAAAAATATGAAAATATTACTTTATCTGTAAAATCCAGTTTATCGAAAAATTTTTGGCACTTCTCGAGTGTACTCAACGGACATCTTAGCGATGGATCCGTTATAATGGTTAACAAAATCTTCATTTTATTCAATTCTTTTGACTTATCGATTGATAATCTGTTTACAAAAATAATGTCAAAAAACATTTTTAAAAAACTAAAAAATAATTTAAAATCTAAGACCTGTCGTCGCCATCGATGCGGGCAATCATTTTACGTAACGGTTCCACATATTTGCGTAAACTTTTCACTTTCTCAACGTATAACTGGTCGTCATTGACGGGTCCGATACCGGTGCCCACAGAACCTGGTGTTAATGTCGGGCTTATTATTGATTCATTCATCGCTTTAATTAATTTAATACGAATTAAATAAATATTTATTGATATGCTTGATAATAACAACTTACTTGTATTGATAGGCATTTGCATTGGATTCTGAACTCCGTTTTGACGGGTATTTGTTATGCGAAATATGTTTGGCGTATAGTATGTGATATCGGGGGACGTAGTGTTGCCCCCCTTTGGCCGCACAGACACATTCATGGCACTTCCACCACACATATGGTTTATAGTGTGCCGATTGGTCATACTATGCGGTACATCCATAGGAATTAATTGCTAATTAGTAAATAATATATTTTATCATTTATTTGTAATAAGTTACAAAAGCATTTAATAGCAAAATATTCAATGAAAAATCACAGAAATGTAAAAAATACTTACATTTTCATTGACTAACTTTATATAATTAAGTCAATGATAAGCTGATGATTCAGTGATGAGCAGTCCAAGAGTTGTTCAACATTTAAATGGTATTAAAATGTTATTTATTATAAATGCACTTACAATTTGTGGTCAAAATTTGCATAAAAATTTTAATACATTTTCAAACAAGTTTTATTGATAAATTTTAATTAAAAAATAATATTAATTGCGAGTGTATTAAAAACACGACTTCTTTATTCTTAATATTTATCATAAGAAATATTACGTTTTGAAAACTGTTATGCTTTTCAAATATTTTTCAACCCTTTGTTTGAATGCATTTCACATTTCTTATGCAATGCTTACGTTTGGTTACATAACATGTTGTCTCTGATTATGTTAAGTAATATAAACCCAAGTATTGGTCCTTTTATATAATGATATAACTATATGAATAGTTATGAAAATGTTTAATAATAAACTATATTTTCATATCTGTTGAGCAGTTAAGGTATGCATAACTTATTCAATAGTTATTTAAACATGTAGTTTTCTTTAACTCATATAATAAAAGACATAACAAAGTGTTTATTACAATTAGTAATTAGGAAACCAAAACCAGCACCACATTAAACATCATGTTAAAAAAGTATTAACTGTGTAAACATATACTATTATGGGTATTTTAGTATATTTGATAATCACTTACAAACATAATTTTGTTATTAGATTAATTATTGTGCTCTCAATGATAATCAGTTTAAGGATATGTTTTTAAAATCATTAAAAATATAACGAATTTTGTTTATAAAAACATTACACATTTTTATTGCCGTACAAATGTTGTCGAATATGTATAAGTAATACTGTGTTATATTTCAATTAACTATACATGATAATTTGTAAATCAGTAATAATCACTCCAAATGCCATCACATGTACTCTCGTATGGATTCTCGAGAATAAGTGACATATCGTTGGGATTCAAGTCTTTCACTCTTATAACAGACATTGTGTCCACCATTTGTGGCCAAACATCGTGTGGTTTGCTATCAATTAAAAATAAATACAATCACAATTAATGAACCACTTTAGCAATAATACAATAAATACTAAATGGATTACTAAATTGAAATACAATAAAATTATCAAAATAATTCTAACAACTATTACTTTCTAATTAAAAAAGTCCAGAATATTTTGGATTATTATTTATAATAAATAATTAAACTCAAGTCAAAACAAATACCCAGTCTTTGCAAAATTTGTCCACATTTTCATTACATCTATACTAAAGTCATAATCAGTTTCGGCAAACAAATGCGGTTTCCGTAGTATTTCACCAAAAATAAAGTCCCCGTCGGAGGCGTGACATACGGCCCATTGCGGACAACCATAATAATCAAGCCATAGGCGAGTGTGGAAATTAAACCGGTAATAATATACCCGTTGGCCACTCTTGGCGTACGCTTTGGCAAACCTATAGGTGGGACACGTGAACACCAGATCGCCATACAATGCACTCAACGCTGCCTTCAATTGCGATGAATTGGTTTTGTGGACACCATTGAGATAATGATCGCACACTTTGTTCACATCTATGTTACGGTATTTGTCGCTCAAATCGCCGACCGCTTTGCGAAACAGCTGTTCCGTTAGTTGTGACCGCATCTCTGGTATTAACCCGCGAGACAGCAAATAGCCCTCGTCTTTGGTCGCACCGGCTATCAGTTCCACATCTATTAGCAATAATTATATTATTATACTAATAACGATTGCTATTATGAATAAATCAATGTTATGAATCAAAATAAACTTCACATTTGTGTTTATTCAAACCATTAAATTGTTATTTATTAAAATCTGGTTTTCATTAACTAATTATAAGTATAATTAATCAATTATTTTGTATTGCAATTATTCTTACCCGAGTTGTATAAACCGTTTTCCAATGCTTTATGGGGTAAAACTGGTAGAAATTGAGTGCCAAACACGGGTTCAGTCCATATCTCGGTGTTTCCGTTTGGGGGCAACTCTACAAACAGGTTCGGGTCCTCTATTGCCCGCAAACAGTCCAACCATTTGTAGTCATATTCAATGGTAGAAATTGAGTGCCAAACACGGGTTCAGTCCATATCTCGGTGTTTCCGTTTGGGGGCAACTCTACAAACAGGTTCGGGTCCTCTATTGCCCGCAAACAGTCCAACCATTTGTAGTCATATTCATCGCAATTCAATTTGCGGGCCATTTGTTTGGCCTTTTGAAGCGCGTCAACAGTGCTGAGCGCCGGGCGGTCTCTGTTGTACATAAGGGACCCGCTCTGCAGAATAGCCCTCTTAAACAGACCCCTCGATAGGGGAGACAATAGGTGTGCGGACACCGACCAACTGCCGGCACTTATGCCAAATATTGTGATCTGATCCCTATCACCGCCAAAGTTACCCACATTACCTCTCACCTAGTGAATTATTAATAAATTGACTATATTAATTATTAGTAATTTTATTAATAAATAAAAATGTTAATTATTATTAAATATTAATAACAAATACATGCTTAGAAATCAATACCCATTTCAGTGCCAATAACTGATCATAAAGTCCCGCATTTCCCGGCGCTGTCTCATCGGCCCCGTAGAGGAACCCTAACGGCCCGACCCTATAGTTAACCGCAACCACAACCACATCATTGGTGGCCAATACAGAGGAGTTATACCACTCGCGAAATATGGATCCCGTACTAAATCCTCCCCCGTATATGAAAAACATTACTGGTTTGAGTGATCCCTGGGATGGACTGTCATCGATGGTATTGAATACATCGGGTGTCCATATATTTAATACTAGACAGTCTTCGCCGGTAATTATTTCAGGATTTCCGATTTAAACACAACTAAAGCCCGCTTTTGTGGCGTCGATTATACCCTGAAATTTTAGGTATTTTAATGAAATAGCATTAGATTATTCAATTAAAAATACGTGTGCTGTATGCATAAATTACTAACTCGTAAGTTTTTTTTATGAATTAATGTAATTTAATTGAATAAAATGCATACTTGTTTGGGTGTAGTGATGGGTACGGGAGGGGCGAACCTGAGTGGGCCTAAAGGGGGCTCAGCGTAGGGTATATTCAAAAATTGATGTATTTTGCGATTCAAGACATGGAGTGTCTGACCCCTCACTGAACCCGAACTCGTGTTCACATCAATACTATTTGAATCGCAAACACAACACATTATTAAACACACCGTTAGTACTGATGGACATAATTGTTCACGAATTAACATTTTTGTTAAATTTTTATTTTATTTATATTATTATTTATTATTACTTTCGTTAGTTTTCATAATTAACGAAAGTGTTAATGTAAACGATGATGTTAATGTTTGAGGTAAATACTTACTATGTCACATAAATTCAGTTTAATGATGTATAATAATTTATTATTAATGAAAAACAAGGCTTGCAAAGCATAGCTAGAACTTAACCCCAATTATGGGGGTAAATAAAACTTTTTAAAATTTTCAATGTTATTGTTATGGAACTTTAATTATTGTAGTTTTGATAATCTTAAATATTTTCAAAAACAATCAAATAAATAGATAGATTTCTTTATAATGCCTACATAAAGAACATTGTCTCAATGGAAAAAGAATTATCCCATTAGAATAACATTACTCCCATAGATTTAACATTACTCCCATAGATTTAACATTACCCATGTTAAGTCTATGTAATATTATTTGCCATGGAGGGAGGGGGAGGCCAAGTGAATCTATAAACCTCAAATATAATTGTGAATTCAGGTTAATAATAGCGCTGACTAATTGTGTTAATGTCATAATGATTGGTGTAAATTATAATTACCGCTATATCACCCATACTATATCATAGAGTCTACATTATTCATGTTATTCCTATGCCATAGACTTAAGCTGTAAACTCATGTCATTGAAAGTGTGAACAAAAAGTTTCACTAAATTGTAGTCAAAATATGTGTCAATAGGTGTCTGACTTGTTGTCAGTTATTGTGTTGTTTTCATTGAATGAAAATATTAGCACATGTTTTGCGACAGAAATACAATTCATTCAATCACTTCATTTGATCACAAGATATGGCAAAACGTAAACACTTGAAGACATCAAAACAGATGAAGAAAATCAAGACATCACTCGTGACCACAGATGACGGCAATGAAGACAACAAACAACACGTATTTCACTAACAATTGACTGTTTATTGAGTTTTCATTGTTTTTGTTAAACATTTTAGCCACGAATCTATACCAAAGACTCTTTGGATCGATTCGGTGATGATTTGTGTGCAGTTCTCGTGTCTTATCTCTCACTCGAAGACTGTTTTGAATACGAATGTGTGTCCAAACAGTTCCAGAGGACAGTCTTCGAGAGTGTTGTCGACATTCATATCTACACGACTTTAGTTAAAAAACTAGTAAATGGAAAGACAATTAACGTCCAAAAGTTGGCCACAATTGCCATAAAGTGTCCAAACATTCAAACCATTGACTGTCAAGAAATCAATTCCAAATATGAGAAACATATTCCCGAAGTGTTGAACACATTTCGAGACAATTGCCGGCATTTAAGAGATATTTACGTCAAAATACTGACGAATAGCTGGAAATGGTTGCCAGGGTTTGGATCATTGGTCACAGAACTCGATGCGTCTCATATACGACAGAGACTATCACTCATTCATGTCCAGCGATTGTCACAATTAAATGTCTGGTCTCTGAATGATGTCTTCGACACCACTTCCGGACAACTAATGGCAAAAAATTTGCAGAAAATTTCATTTCAGTGCTATTTAACCAATAATAAGCAACAGTTGTCTGTATTTGTGGCACACAATCAGTCACTCAAAAGTCTTAGTTTTAGGGCTAGTTTTAAAACTCTCGAAACAATGAATGAAATTTGCGGACAATTAACACAATTACGGGAATTGAATCTCGATTTATACGGAATCGATGGCGAGAACTCATTGTCTGTGTCTTTGCGTACAATTGGCTTAAACTGCAAACAATTGCAACGATTGTCACTTCAATTAACGTCAAACGATATACCACTCGATGGCCAGACATTGGATTCGTTGAGATATTATCACAGATTAAAACGATTGCGTTTACACTGCAAGCGATTAACGCATTTATCACTTAATATAATGGAAATTAGTGGTAAACTTCACTACCTGTCCATCAAAACTAATGCAATGACTCGCGAGTGTTTGGATCGCATCTCGAGTCTACCGGCGCTGCAAATGCTTGTAATTAAAGTCAATGCAAACACTGATCTCTCGGATAATGATTTCAAGGATCTGTTGTCCAGAATTCCTAAACTAAAAAATATTCATTTCATTAAAAATTCAAATTCAAAACAGTTTTACACCAGAAATAGTTTAAATGCTTCAAACATTTATTAAAAATTTACTTTTTATTCATTTGATATCAATATTAACGAAACTTATATTTTTAATAAATAATATTATTATTTTAATACTAATAATAAAATCATTAAAATATTTTTAAAAAGAGACTTAAAATAATTTTCCATTTAATTTTTAATAATAAAATTTAATAAATAATTATTATATAAAATATAATTAAATATTCATTGAAAGTGTGGGCAAAAAGTGGTACAAAATGTGACGAAATTAAGTGTCAATAGATGTCAGACCTGTTGTCAGTCTTTGTGTTGGTTTTCATTGAATATAAATATTATCACATTTTTGTGACATTTATTTGCATTTCATAACAAAAATACAATTCATTCATACAATCAATTCATTTGATCCCAAGATATGACACAACAAATGGCAACAACGGAGACATCGCTCGAGACCACAGATGACGTCGAAGAAGACAATAATCAACAGGTATTTGACAAACAATTGATTGTTTATTGAATTTTAATTGTTTTTTCGCATTTTAGGCGAAGGACACAATGGACAGATTCGGTGATGACATGTGTGGACTCATATTATCCTATTTTTCACTCGAAGATCGGTTTCGATGTGAATGTGTGTCCAAACGGTTCCAGAGGAAAGTCTTCGAGAGTGTTATCGACATCACTATCAAAGACAGACTTATCATAAAAATAATGAGTAAAAACACAATTGACATCAAATTGTTGATCAAAATCATCAAAAAGTGTGCAAACATTCAAACCATTGACTTTCGAAGAATGAAAACATTTGAAGAATTCATTCCCGAAGTGTTGAACACATTTCGAGACAATTGCCGACATTTGCGGCAAATTTACTGTAATTTAGATCAAAATACATATCAATTGTTCCCTTCATTCGGACCATTGGTTACAAGAATCGGAAGCGTTTCCATCAAAGAGAGACAATCACTCATTCATTGCCACCGATTGTCTCAATTATGTGTCCACTCGTTGTCTGACATCTTCGACACCACTTCCGGACTATTGGCGAAGAATTTACACAAATTTACATTTGATTATTCGAGTGATAATAAGGAACTGTTGTCTGCATTCGTGGCACACAATCAGTGCCTCAAAAGTCTTTACATAAGCGTTGAAAAACATGAAACCCATAAGTGTTTGACCGAAATGTGCGGACAATTATCACGATTAACACAATTACGTGATTTGACACTCGGTTTACAACTAACTGATGGCCGGAACTCATTGAACGACTCTTTGCGCACAATTGGCTTAAAGTGCAAACAATTACAGCGATTATCACTGATATTGTGGTCAAACAGTTTGCAACTAAATTGCCATACAATGGATGCCTTGAAATGTTATCACAGATTAAAGCGTTTGAATTTATTATTCTTATTGGAATCGTTGGACAATCAATTCTGGGATCCGTTGAGATTCTGCCATCGATTAACGCATTTAACGCTTGATCTCAAACTCAACTCTTGGAAAATGATCGACAAATTGATAGATAATTGCGACAAACATTGGCCGCGACTTCAATACCTATGCATCAGCGCTAATGCAATCACTCGCGAGTGTTTGGATCACATCTCAAGACTACCGGCGCTGCAAACACTGGTCTTTGACTGTTTTGATGAAAGTCATTGTCTCAGAGATTATGATTTGAGAGACATTTTTTTGACAACTGTTAGACTCAAACACATTGAAATCCGTGTAAACAATGTTTCAGAGTTTTATTGCCGTAAAAATGTTTAATTATTAATTTATTTCATGAATTATTTATATTTAATTTGTATTCAAAATGCACTGAATTTTATTAATTTTTTAAATATAATTTTAATTCCACTGCATTTTTACATATTTAAACTGCCGTTCATTTAATTATTTTTCAGTGTTTTATAGTTTACTCTAATTTTGTATTTAATTTATTCATTCATAAATTTTCTATTTATAGATTATTTCTATTTATTAACTGTAAATAATTTTAAATATTTACAACTTTTAAAATCAATGTAAAATTTTTACAAATAATAAAAATACAATTTTTTACAGTTATTTATAAATCCATTTAACACTCATTCAAAGTGTGGGCAAAAAGTTTTACAAAATATGTGTCAATAGATGTCTCACTCGTTGTCAACACTTTGTGTTGGCTTTGAATTCAATGCAAATATTATCACATGTTTTGCAGTGAATAACAAAAACAATTCATTCATACAATCACTTCATTTGAGCCCAAGATATGGCACAACAGATGACAACAACGAAGACATCACTCGAGACCACAGATGACAGCAATGAAGACAACAGACAACAAGTATTTAATTAATAATTTAACAACAATTAAGTGATAAATGTTTTTGTCTCACATTTTAGACACAAATTTATGCGAAGAACTCAATGGACAGATTCGGTGATGATTTGTGTCAACTGTTGTTATACTATCTCTCACTCGAAGATCGGTTTCGATTGGAAAGTGTGTCCAAACAGTTCCAGAGAACTGTCTTCGAGAGTGTTGTGGACATCACTCTTAACGACAAACTCATCAGTAAAACACAGGGAAAGGCAGCGATCAATGATTTTTATAATATCATTACTTTAAGCCATATTTCCCTTCAAATAATTGCCAAAAAGTGTCCAAANTTTTAGCCACAAATCTACGCGAAAGACTCTTTGGATCGATTCGGTGATGACTTGTGTGCACTTCTCTTGTCTTATTTGTCAACAAAAGATCGATTCCGATACGAATGTGTGTCCAAACAGTTCCGGAGGAATATCTACAAAAGTGTCGTAAACTTCAAATTGAACGACAAATTAATCCGAAAAATGCCCGAAAGATATTACCCGCAAATGTTGGCCACAATTACCACAAAGTGTCCCAACATTGAGATCATTGACTGCCGAAGACTGGAATCGAGTCGCCTCTCGAGTCACGCGCCGGAAATGTTGCACACGTTTCGCGACAAGTGTTGGCATTTGCGGGACATTTACTGCAATCCAATGTTGACTAACATTAAAGCGCTGCACGATTTGCGACCACTGGTCACCCGAATCGGATCCAAGCGGCGGTGCGGCGGCCGTTATGTCCGACACTGCGAACGTATGTTTGACTTATCGGTCAAATCATTGTCTGACGTCTACTCCCAGAAGAGGGTAATACTGACGAAGAGATTACGCAAATTGTCGTTCGAGACCTACGATGGCGTCAACGGCGCCAACAATGAAGTGTTGGCCGTTATTGCGTTCAACAATAAGTCGCTGACATGTCTGGCGATCAGAGATCTAAAGCCGCCGTCCATTGAGATTATGAATGAATTTGCGGACGTATTGTCACAACGATTACCACAATTACGTAAATTGACTCTTCATTTCGATGTGACAGACATTCAGTACTCAATAGACGGCTCTTTGTCTGCAATTGCTGTGAAGTGTAAACAATTGAAACGATTGTCACTCGTATTGCAGTCGAAGTCCAAACAACCGGTTGTCCAGACATTGCATTCATTGCCATATTTTTCGCAATTAAAACGATTGCTTATAAACCTCTACCCGACTGTCAGTTCCTTCCAGTTTCTAAGCTATCAATTCGTGGATCCGTTGAGACTTTGCCGCCGATTAACGCATTTAAGTCTTCAGTTCTCGCAAATAAATCCTAATATTTTAGACAATTGTCACACATATTGGCCGCGACTTCAATACCTATTCATCAAATCTGCGGTAATGACTGGCGATTGTTTGTCACACATCTCAAGACTACCGGCGCTGCAAACGCTTGTCATTCACTTGAGTAAAGACGTTGATCTCTCGGATAATAATTATGAAGACCTGTTGTTCAGAAGTTGTAAACTAAAGAACATTAAAATTCGTGATAAGAAAGTATCAAAATTTTATTGCTGTAAAAATAATTGATTATTTTTAAATATTTTTAATTAAACAAATATTTTTGATACTTTATTTATAACTTTTCATTTAATTTAATTTTCAATTTCCTAATTCATGGTCTCGAGTGACGTTCCGTTCAAATAAAATAAAAGTTTTATTAAAACATATTAATTAAAAATATTTTAATATTTATTAATTTATTAAATTCTTAAACATTTAAAGCATTTGGAATACAATAAAACATTGATGTGTTGTTTCCATAGACTTCAATGTTCTTGAGTTTAGGGTTTGTGGTCAACAGATCCTCGAAATGATGATCATTGAGAGTATGATCGGAGCGAATGACAAGTGTCTGCAGCGCCAGTAGTTCTGCGATTTGAACCAAACAATCATTGTTTAAAATGTGGCGTTCAATCGATAGGTATTGAAGACGTGATCGATTGTCACTATTATCCATAAAATAGTCAATACTTTGACTTAAATCTAGTGTTAAATGTGTTAATCGGTGGCAGAGTCTCAATGGAATCACCATTAGTTGATCCGAAGTCATTAAAAGTAGTGATAAATGCAATCGTTTTAATCCGGGATAATATGCCAACCAATGCATTGAATTGTCAGTTAATTGTATATAATATGAGCTCAAACTGATTGTCAATCGTTTCAATTGTTTGCAATTTAAGCCAATTTTAGGCAAAAGGTTTACGAATAAGTTTTGGTCATTCAATAGTTTAAGTCTAAGCCTTAATTCCCGTAATTGTGTTAATCGCGGCAATTGTACGGCCAGTTCGGGGAAAGTCTCGTGAGTATCGGATCCATCACACCATACGTCAACACTTTTGAGGGACTGATTGTGTGCCACAAATGCAGACAACAATCCCTTATCGCTTGGTTTATAAGAAAATATAAATTTCTGTAAATTCTTAACTAATAGTTGTTCGGAAGTGTTGTCGAAGATTGTCGACAACGAGTCGACCTCTAATTGTGACAATCGGTGGCAATGAATGAGTGATTGATTCTCAACGACAGAAATATTGCTAATTTTTCTAACCATAGGTCCGAACGCTGGAAATAATTGCGATATATTTTGCCATAAATTGCAGTGAATTTGTCGCAAATGTTGGCAATTGTCTCGAAATGTATTCAATACTTCGGGAATATATATTCTATGTTTAAAACTTATTCTTCGGCAGTCAATGGTCTGAATGTTTGCACACTTTATGGCAATTGTGGCCAACAATTGTGTGTCAATTGACATCTCATTCATTATTTTATTCATAAATCGGTCGTAAATATGAATGTCGACAACACTCTCAAAGACTGTCCTCTGGAACTGTTTGGACACACATTCATAACGAAATCGGTCGTCGAATGAGAGATAAGACAATATGAGTGCACACATGTCGTCACCGAATCTGTCCATTGAGTTCTTCGCGTATATCTGTGTCTAAAATGTTTAACAAAAATAATTAAAACTCAAAAAACATTCAATTGTTTGTGAAATACCTGTTGTTTGTTGTCTTCATTGCCGTCATCTGTGGTGTCGAGTAATGCCATCAAATGTGTCAACTGTTGTGCCATATCTTGTGTCCAAATGAAGTGATTGTATGAATGGTTGGATTAATAAATATAATTAAAGTATTTTTGTAATCAAATTAATGTAAGAATGAGTTAATATCGCAAAACATGTGTTATATTTAATACAAACAACAGTTGTGTTCATAAAGTATAACATTTTTGACATATTTTCCTCAATAAATACACATTCATTGAGAGTTTAACTAAATTTAAAAATAATTATAAATAAAATATCAAATATTTATTTAATTTTCAACTTTAATTTTAAGTGAATTAAAATATTTTATAAAATATTATAAATGAAATACAGTAATAGAAATCTAAATGAAATCAACATATTTTCATTCATAGCTTGAATTGAATAAAATAACTAAACATTTAACGCATTTTTACTTTGAATAAAACTTCTTCTCATTGTTTACACGGATTTCAATTGTCTTGAGTTTAGGACTCGAAGACAACAGATCCATGAAATCATTATCCGAGAGATAAATGCTTTGACGGCAATGAATGACAAGCATTTGCAGCGCCGGTAGTCTTGAGAGGTGTGACAAACACTCGCGAGTGATTGTAATAGCTTTGATCGACAGGTAGTGAAGTCGCGGCCAATGTTTACAGCAATTGTTCACTAATTTATCACTTATTTGATTTGAAGTAAGTGTTAAATGTGTTAATCGGTGGCAGAGTTTTAACGGTTTCAACACTTCCTCATCTTTAACCTCTCCGATGGTTAAATCCAATCGTTTTAATCTGTGATAAACTCTCAAAGAGTCTATTGTCTGGCCATCAGTCAAAGAGCTCAATGCGAGTGCCAATCGTTGTAATTGTTTGCAGTTTAAGCCAATTGTACGCAAAAATACTTTCAATGAGTTCTGGCCACTCGTTAGCACTAATTGTAGCGATAATTCCCGTAATTGTGTTAATCGCGACAATTGTCCGCACATTTCGGTCAGAATTTCGTTAGTTTCTGAGCCATCAGTTCTCAGGCGAAGACTTTTGAGTGACTGATTGTGTGCCACGAATGCCGACAACTGTTCCGTATTATGAGTTGATTCACAAAAAGAAAATTTGTGTAAATTCTTCGCCAATAACTTTCCCGATCTGTTGTCGAAGACGTCGGACAACCGGAAGGGATGTAATTCAGACAATCGGTAGCAATGAATGAGTGATTGTCTCTTCAGTGAGTCCATGGAATCGATTCGTGTGATTAGAGGTCCGAATGTTGTGCACAATTGATGCGAAAATAAATTGCAGTAAATGTCCCGCAAATGACGACAATTGTATCGAAATGTGTTCAACACTTCGGGAATGTGTTTGTCAGACAATGCCATTCCTCGGCAGTCAATGGTCTGAATATTTGGACACTTTTTGGCAATTATTTGAAGGGAAATATGGCTTAAAGTAATGATATTATAAAAATCATTGATCGCTGCCTTTCCCTGTGTTTTACTGATGAGTTTGTCGTTAAGAGTGATGTCCACAA